GACTTTTGATGAAACAAGTGTCTGGTAAAATAAATCTCATTTTTAAAAAACAATTAGCTATTGTTTTCCCCAATGTACCATTTTACTAATTCATCTTCTATAAGGAGATTTGTACAAAGATAAGTGCTGTGTTCTTTATTTCTTTCTCGGTGGCCAATAATTGCATCCAAGGAAATGGAGGCGTGAGGTAAGCAATTCTCAGATAACAAAGTTCTCAATTCTTGCTCAGCTGTGGTAGGCTTCCGTTTGGCAAAGTTATTTACCTCGCTCAAAAACACAGAGAGGTTCCCCGCTAGCTGAAACATCTGCATTATTCTCCATTTATGCAACACTTGATGATAATAAAGATCTGGGAAACTATGATCTTGTAGCCTACTCCTTCTCAATCAGATGTTCCTACGTATTTTTTAAAATTCAGCTACATTTAAATTCCTTTTAATTCAACTATGTTTTAATAAGATAATGTGTTGAACTGAGGTTTAATATTCTAACTTGTTATCTTCTCAAGTGTACCTTTTTAGCTTAAATTGGTGTGAGCTGTCCTGAATCCCAGCTTTGGGAGAAGGATAGGTTATAAACACATTATAAAGACATTTTCTCAACAAAGCCATTTTCTCATCAATCTGAATTGATCAATTCTGAAAGAATGAGAGGAGACAAAGCCCCACATGCTTTGTGATGGTTAAAAACTTTTTTAAAGTCTAGCACATGGGACTTTCTCTCCTCTCATTCTTGCACTGCGAATACGTGCTTTCCAGTTTTTGTTTTCTGTTCTTGGAGTTTCTGAAAACAAGGAACAATAGCAGAAAAACTAATGAACAACAGAAACAGTAAATCAGCAGGTTATTTATTAAAGCCAATAAATGACTTACCATAGTGCTTTACTTTCTAAACTCTATAATAAGTAGCTGAAACACAGCACTTTCAAAATTACACAAAACCTTTCTTAGCTCTGCTCCTGTGTTCTTCGGCTCTCGAATTTTTATTCCAATTCTGTCAGTCTGATATGCATGAGCATGCCTGAAAGAGCTTGTTAATGTGGTTTAATTCATGTATATATTTCTGTACAGTCCTTACTGAATAACCCATCTGGATTCCAGTCATCCCTGTAAACTGGTAACTAAAAGGAGAATTTTGAGGACACATGGATAAACATGCTCCTTAGACCAGTCCCATGAGTCTACCATTTCCCTTTCCAAATTTCTGCAACTCATGCATATATCCATATATCCTCATGCTCCATCTTGAGCTTTGATTTCTCTAGTGTACAGAAAAATCTTATCTTCCTGCAAAGGTTCTACATGTTTATTCTGTTCTGATCACCCCAAAAAAAAGCTTTGAGAAGCCCAGCCTCTACCTACACTGATAAACGTTGGCACGACAAAACACCCTGCTAAAACATTCGACAGGTTATGCTGTAGCTTGCAAGAATTATTTTTCGAAAAAACAAACATTTACACTAAAATAAAAATGTTTATATAAGCAAAGAATGAGCAAATTTCCAAAGAACAGCAAAAGCAGATGGGAGCCCCGCACACATGGAAACAGTTGAGTGATACGTCAATCTTCTAGAAAATGTTCTCTGCAGGAAAAAAAAAGGTGGTGCTGGAAGAACACTTAATGGTTAAATTGAAAAATATTCTAACCATTACCACCGTCACTTTCTTGAAAACGCTTCAGAGGATTTGGATATTTCATTGTTTGGTTTTCCGCCATGGAAACGCTAGCACAGGTACCGGTTTCCTGAACTATGATCTTCCAGTTTGGCCTCAATACACCCAAGCAATGACCTCACCCTGTTATCCAACTCTTTCAAAAGACTGAGCAGTTTCCATAAAAATACCTCTTAACCATCATGTCAAAAGCCTTGTAAAGAAACAGTCTTGGTGGCAACTCCCAAAGCTACAGAAAGCCTTTGGTCCAAAAGGTTTTTTGCAATACCGGAAGACCTTCCATCCTTTTTGTTATAACTGGGATTAAGCTGGTATTGATATTCCAATTGATGTTCCAGCTTTACTGCATTTCAGGATAATCCATTGATGCTAATGGATTATAACTTGGGCGTTTTATATGTGCAGGAGTTCAAAAGAGGCGAGATTCCAACAGAACTCGACTGTCCTATCGTCCCTGCCAAAGAAAGCTAGATTTAAAACAGGAATCCCTCTTTTTGATGGACAAACTGGTCTGAACTTTAAGATCATATTGTGAGCCCCTTACCCAGTGACTTCACCTTCTGAGTTGAAGTAAATGGAAACCAAGGAAGGACCTTTTAAAAGGTGGCAAAACTCTCTCTACGGCGAAGGAGGAGGCTTCTTGGGAAAATCCACCAAAGCTTCAGCACTTCTCAGAAGCAACCACTGTATCTGTTGTTGTCTAAATATCAAGACTCATATTTTGCTCAAAAGCAGAAGAATGTGTGTTTGTTTTTTTAAAAAATACCTTTATTTTCCTAGATTGCAACCAAAAACCTACTTGCTTGGAAGTAACACCCGCCAAAGTCAACAGAATTTACTTCTGAGTAGAGAGAAAGGTCTGCAGACTATTTCTGGCTTACTGTGATCCTGTAAGGAAAACTATGTCCAAAGGTTCCCTCGATGCAGCAGGATATAAATATATTAAATAAATTAAATTAAAATGAATTAGCTAAGGATTAAATTAAATTAAAATGAATTAGTTAAGGAAGTGAAGGCTACAAAGGGAAGCATACGGAAACTATTTAATGTTATTTTAAGGGACTGAGCTGTATCATGCCAGAGGAAATCCTGTGGTCAAAACAGTGGGACCTGAAGGTTGACTGGGCTGGTTTACAAACATTAATATACCGACACCATTTCACAGGTTTCAAAGAGGTGAAGAAAATGACCTACTTATCTTTAAAATACCATGTTCACCCCTGTGCGTAAGCATTGCACACAAATGAGAAGGCTTTCCATTTCAGTTGACCCAGAGCTCCCTCTACAGTATCAAAGGGCATTAATAAAATCTTTTTTCTAAAGAAGAAAGAAAGAAAGGAGGGATGAAAAAAGGAAAGAAGAAAAGGAAAGGAAAGGAAAGGAAAGGAAAGGAAAGGAAAGGAAAGGAAAGGAGCAGGTTCATACATTATTTGTCAGACAAATATATTATTAAATATATTATGACAAATATATTAATCTCATCAATTTCCAGCTCAGTTAAAACTTGATCTGCCTCTTAATAGCTGAAGATCCTGGGGCTTGTAGTCCAAAAAAAAAATGTAGCATTTCCAAATTCTGAACTGACCGTTGCATCCTTCCTTAGACTACATCTTTGTTTTCATCCACACAGAAACTAAACATTTTATGAAAAATTTGGGGCTTTCTGGCACCATTCTGACTCAACATCTTCTTCCCCACAGATCTGTAAACTGCTTCTTTCAACTCCCGTAAATTTGAAGGCCAGCATGGTGAGGTGGGTTTGAGCTTTGGACTAGGACTCTGCAGAACAGGGTTCGAATCCTGCTCAGCCATGGAAACCCACCGGGTGAACCTGAACAGGTTACACTCTCTCAGGCTCAGAGGAAGGCAAAGGTAAACCCCTTCTGGACAAATCTTGCCAAGAAAATCCAGTGATAGGTTCACCTTCTGTGTGTGTCGTTTGCCTTTAAGTCATTTCTGAATTATGACAACCCTAAAGTGAACCTATCACAGGGTTTTCTTGGCAAGTTTCTTTAGAGGGAGTTTGCCATGGGCATCCTCTGTGGCTGAGAGAGTGTGACTTGCCCAGGGTCACCCAGTGGTTTTTCACATCCAAGGAGGGATTCGAACCCTGCTTTCCAGAGTCACAGTCCAATGCCCAAACCATTACACTGGATTGATATGTCAAAAACTACTTGAAGGCACACAACAACAACAAAAATTTGAAAGCAGCTTGAGACACAGTATGGAAGCTGCTGTTCAGCATCCACACAACTATTCTTACTGTTATTATTTTATTTACTTATATCCCGCCTTTCTCCCAATATGTGGCTCTCCTATTTCTGTTCCATCAATTGCCACGCTCCGCAGTCCAAGAGGACCTGGGAAAGCTTCCGTTGGACTGTTTCCCTTCTGAATAATGGCTCCAGCCATTCTTCCATCCGAGATCTGTTGTGACAGACACTATAAAGCACAGTGCAAATGTTTAAAAGCATTAAAACTGCAGACAGTAATCTGATGTGGAGTGGCTATAAGACTTCTCCCTAGCTGAGCAAAGTCACCTCTCGTCTTCCAATGCAGGAAGCCCAAGGCTGGGACCAAGAAGATGGCCAAGGGGCAATTCGTATTACTAATCTCCATCCTCCAAGCTTTCATAAATCTCAGCGAGAATTTTATTGGATGGCTGTCCCCAAGGGACTTTTTACCAGCCTTTATGTATACAATAATCCTATTTAAAGGCCAACATCTGTCTGCGTGAAAACCCGTTGCCAAAGAATCGTGTTGAAAAGGTCATACGGCGACAACCTCTTCTTTCTCCGTTAGAAACTGCTTCACTTAAATAAACAGTTGAGAGAATTACTCAAAATTATTGCCTTTTCTGATATATATTGGTGGGAGAAACATTTTAAATGTTGCCGGCTGGTTAGAAAATTTGACCACAACACACAAATCTATTTCAGTTCTCACTGGCAGTGGAAGACCTCACTCACATTTGAACTTTTGCAAAGAACTTTGAAGATGGACGACAAACACAGAATCAACGCTGGTAAACATTAATCATTGCTTAGGCTATTTTTAAAAAAGGACTCCAAAACTGGAATGAAAACAAGGGAGTGTTGCTTCTATAGTTAACGCCTTCTTTACTAGAGAGAAAAGGAGAGAAATAAAAATGTAGATTCTGCTCGTTGATTCATTTACTGATGGAAAGACAACAAAGTAGGCACCATCCTTGCCTTCCTAGGGATGGATTTCCAAACCATGGGAGCAACCACTGAGAAGATCTTCCCTCCCATGTTCCTACGAAACATGTCTGGAAAGGTGGTGAGACCAAAAAAAAAAAAAAAAACTGCCAGTGTGCTATAGTGGTTTAAGTGTTGGACTTTGACTCTGGAGACCAGGGTTCAATTCCCTGTATGGCCATAACATCCAATGGATGACTCTGGGCATGTCACACGCTCAAACATATATAGTACTTTAAACTTCAACCTGGGTTTGAGTCCCAACATGGTCATGAAACCCACTGGGTGACTTTGGGCAAGTCTCATGCTCTCAGCCTCCTGTGAAGGCAATGGTGAACTTCCTCTGAACATATCTTGCCAAACAAACCCAACGATAGGGTCGCTTTAGGGTAGCCATAAGGAAACGACTTGAAAGCACACAACAACAAACACCAAAGATTTTAAAGCCAAGGCACACCCATGGACTTCACATCTGGTGTCTCATGGGAGTGAAAAAAACGCCCATGGATATCACCAAGTGAGACCGCAGTAGAAGGATCCCTTCCGGCAAAATATCCCCTTCATTCAGGAAACCAGAATGCCAGACAGAATTGTACTAACTAGCAGATCTTTCTTGTTCACATGTGAGTTTTCTGTAAATGAAGGAAATGGGAGGGAGGGGGATATCAAGAGAAAAATGCCAGTCGTTCCTCCACCCTACAATTGCAAACCAAAGAGGTCCATCCCAGGCATAGATGAACCATCTCAGTTAGAAATCAGCCGCTGTGCCTTTCTTTTGCCAAGCTGTCTACTCTTTCCTCCATCTGTTGTTCAATTGATCATTGTACCTATTTTTAATTTTGAAATATATACAAACACAATATGTACTACACAAAAAGGAGGATTATTAGAGACATATTCCAAAGGATTGCGTTCCAGAAACGTTGATTTCCCCACCACCACCAGAGATTGGAGGGACAGAACATGCGGGGTGGTGTGTGTGTGTGTGTTTTTGGAAAGGGAGAAATTGCTGACAAGGCTCTCCTATCAACAATACATTTTTATGGGAATTTCCTGTTTTTAAAAAATATTGTTTAGAGTTGCCAAAAGTCCCTGTTTACTTTCAAAAGTGTTCCACATTAACAGAAGGGCATAATGAGTTACAGGAGCTGCATGCTGGTACATTATGTTGCTTCCTAGAGGAACGAGGTTGTTTTCATAGGGCTGGGTTTCAACTCTGAGGCACAACCGCAGAATTAGGTCACAGTTTTGAAAGCCATATATATATTGGGTGTATATATATATATATATTTGAAATTGAAATCAAGTGCTCTTGATCTGATAGACTACCAGGATCTCTTGGAAAAGAAAAGAAGAATTCAGTTCTGGATGTGCTCCAGGAATGCAAGGACTGTTTGGACCAATAAGAACAAGTAATGAAAGAAAGATGGTCACTTAAGTGGGATATTACTTTTAGTGGGCTGCACGGCATCTACCGTCTGCTACTTCAAGATCTATGGGACGCAGTGTTTGAATGACCCTAAACCATAGCAAGAAGAGGCATTTCACGGGCATTTGGGAAGCCATCCCATGCCCATCACTCATCAGTGACCATCTTTCAAGGGTGGGCAACAGACGACAAGATGGGGGCCAATCTTCACCCCAAGACCACATTGGCATGCCAAAGCCCCCAGAGCTGCTAATAAAAAAAATTCAGGGCCATTTTCACCCCGAAAACAGCTCAAAAATGCTGCAACACATTACATGCCGCGATGTGCAGAAGTTCTGCCAGTCTCCTCCATGCCTTAGAAACCTGCCAAAATCAGGTCAAAATCAGCCAAAATTGAAATGAGAACTGAGCAACATCTCTCTTGGTTTCGATTCTGGCCAATTCTGGAGGGATTCTATTGGGTTTTTAAGGCATCTTGGGAGCAATAAATTGTGTTTCACAGGCATTCTGGCAACTTTGGGGTGAAGGAAAAACCCATAATTCTTTTATTATTGTTTTATAAAGGATCTGTGGGCTTTGGGAAAGCTTCAGTAGCTGCACATTTAGGCCCAAAGGGCTGACTGTGACCCATGGAATGAACTCTGCCCTCCTCTGCCTTAATTCTTTAACTGAAGGCAAACCAACACAGTTTAGGAAATAATGAAAGAATGCTTCAGTGTACTTCAGTGCTGTCCAGTTAACTCCAAGACTCTTTGAACAATGCCAGGAAGACTTGGAGACAAAACATCTATTAGATGACAGAGGCATTTTAGGAAGTCTGAGAAGCAACTTAGATAAAGCATTTCTGCATACCAGAAGCAAATCAAGCCAACTATAAGATTTTTGTCACTTGAGAGAACACTACAGCACACATATCTGCATGAAAATGGTGATATCACTACATCTTATAGAATGAGTCCAAAAATTTAAGCAGTTAGTTTTATGTTTCTGTGACACGATGTCCATTACAAAACATTCCAATATACATACAATATATCTAGTACAACAAATCCTATACTACCCACACACTTATTAATGTGTGACAAAGGAATTACAAAGGTCAAAAATGAAAGAGCCAAACAGAAGTTACTGACTAAAATTTCAGACCAACAATAATAATGGCAACTACAACAACTGATCCCCTTTGCAATCCACTGCTGATGCCTTTAGGAATTTGCAGTGGTGAAGGATGGTAACCTTGAGTGTAATGGATTTAGAAAGATGTGTCAACAGGCCAGAAATAATATCAGGCAATATCCAACTTGCCCTTACTCACAAGAGGTCTCCCAAGAAATACATCTTAGGCTTACTATATAATAGGCAATGTAATGCATAAGGAACACATAGCCGCTGTGTACAAAGAATACCTTCATGCTTTCCCTCCAGGTGAACTGATGACATTGTCTGAAAATGGAAGGCATTAAAAGTTTTTCTAAGGGCAACACAGATTAAGTCTTGAAAATACTGCTGAAAATACTGTTCTCGCTTCAGAAAGCGATACAAAGGGGAGAATGCTTGCTGTTGGCTAGCAAGCACATTCTCATAAGAATCAACCTCAAAAACTCTGTCTCTAATAAAATATTTGTCTGTATGGGTTGAAGAGGTCTGGACATCCTCAAAATAAGACTGGGACAATCTGAGTGTACTGTTTAATGAGGATCCAAATATTATTGAGCGTCAGTTTTCAAAAAAACCTGAATTTAGCCCAAGATCTTAAACAACTATACGCTTACCTTCAGCATTCAGTGTGATGAGCGTCACATTGTTTCCGATATTCTGGTTTCCTAATTGACCACTGTTAGAAACTGAGTCGCTGGCTTCGGAACCACTCTCTCCATCTTCATTGTGACTGTCTTCATGCCCCGGGACTTTCACCACAATTGTGTTCTGCCTCCGCCCAGGAACAGCACTGGAGAGCATGGGAGAAGAGAAGAGAAAAAGTGAATAACTCTATAAACCTAAAACCATGTCATGTTATGCATCTGGCCCCAAACAACACAGAAAACCAGTAAAGAAATGAAGGCTTAAAAAGGGAGTAAAATAACTTTAGCAGTATGGAACTAAGGGCTAAATTCAGTTAGTTACTCCCAATTAAAGAAGACTCAAAGAAGCAAATAGACTGAGGTAAACTGAAACTAACAAGTCCCAGTTTATTTCAATGGAACTAACATTAGGTTTAGTCCTGAGTTGCAAAAGTCTGTCCCACATCTATTCTATTGTATCATCCTCACAACTGCTCAATCCCCAACCCATGGTGATAGAATGGACTTTTCAGATAGGCTCCCCCCGCCCCCCGGTAGCATTCCTACCATTGGCTATGTTGGTTAGAGCATCTGGCAACTGCAGTCCAACATCTGGAGAGCTGAATGTCACCCATCCCTGATCTAAAGGATGTTCCTGAGAAAGTGGCCACACATCCTTTACACCTTAGAACCCATGCCTCACATTTTCTCAAGTCTCTCCCCTCAAAACTGCACCCTCATAGGTTCCAGGTTGTATTTCTAAGCCCCACCAAGTAGGGTTGGAGAAAATTTCCTATTGGAAACTCTGGGGAACCTTACAGTCAAACAGCAAGCTAGAGGGTACAACAGTCTGACAGTATAACAAAGGTGGGTACAGGGCAGCCTATGCTTGGACCTCACATCTGTAGCTCATGAAACCTCCCATCAGTCCCCCAAAGTCCCTCAACCCCAAGCAAAAATGTTTTTAAAACAATGTTTTAGCATGATTTTAGGCAAACGGTTGACCCTCAAGCAAACAGAACCCCCTAACACATGAAAACATATGAAAATACCCCCACTCCACCCCCCATAAACACCCCCAGAACCCTATATTCCTTCTAATTTCTCCTTTTTCCTTTGCAGCCCCTCTCAAGAAGAGAATAGAAAGTGACACAATGCCATATCTTGCACTATTTTGAGAAGGACTGTGGAGAAAAACAAGTATTTGGACTGGGCATGTGAGGGAGTGTGGTCTTTGTACATAGGAGGATGAGACTATTGAGTTGTTACTAACGTGCTCAGGATATTTTCCAATGAATCCGCTGCTCTATTCAGTGGCTCCTCTTGTCCTACCATCTTGGCTACAATGGAGTTCTGGCGATCGTTGTTGAGTATTACTGTAGTCTGTGGAACGACACTGTAAATAAAGCAGAGAGAAAAATGACAGCATGGACAGGATAAAAAGCTCTTCATTCATTAACCCGCTTTTGGAATTTTAGCATGTTCTTCCATGAAAAACAAAACCAGCACAGATGTGTCGGGTTTCCCCCACCCTGCTCCACTTTTCTTGGTTTCAAGGCTGTTTACTTATGTATTATACACTAAAGCTTGTAATCTATCATCTTATGATCTTTGTACCATTCCAAGAACTCATAATTCTTTCAAGGAGCTGACTGCTCCAGTAAAATTATGTAACGCCCTTTGACCTTTGGCAGAATTATGATCCCCCCCCCAAAAAATCAACACAAAGCATACAGAAGGAGATGAAAAAGCCTGCTAGCCCAAAATCTAAAAATGCCTCACATTGCCAATGCTAAAAAGGAGTTCAAATTATGTGCCTGTTTTATTAGTAGGAAAGGGAAGGGGGGAGAGATGAAGTATTTGTAAGACACAATAGAGATGTATATAGTTATGCATGTTGTGGAGAATACAGGCAGTGAGAAGCTTTTCTCTTTCCCTCGCTCATAATGCTAGAAAGATACTGACAAGCTG